TATACAAAGTTAATAAAAACATGAGACACCGCAAGAATTTTAATTTTTTGTTTACCTAGATGTAAATGGTCTAAATTATAAGTTTTTGCTTTAAATATACATAATTTTTTACTGTTTTTGACATTCGTGATTGAGTCCACAACGAAAATAAATCTATGTTCGTGCTTTAACAAATCCACCTAAAAGAGATTTTACTTTTATAAAAGTAAGTTTTTTAAGTTATTGATAAGGATGTTAAACGAAAATCATATTTAGTTAAAAATAACACGGCCATGACAAATATAAAAGATGTAGTTTTATTGTAAGGAAGGTGCATGTACCTATGGTATGTATTAGAAATACTTTTAAGTCGGGGATAACAATATTGTTAACTAGTTGTAAAGATGCTGGAGTTAAAAGTTCTCATCATCCAGATTAGTTTAAAAATCTTGAGTTTCTTTTGTTCGATAAACTTCTAAATACCGACTTTTTAAAATCGATTATATCCAACTCATTGTAACAGAGCACAAAACTGTTTCAATCGCAATAATTTTATTTCCTTCTAACAGCTTGTATCACTACAAATTGTATTGTTAGAGTTTGCTTTATTCGATTTTAAAAGTAATTACAGTTTAAGTTGTTGATTTAGTTGGGATTTTTTTGCCAAAGTTTCTCCGAGTTAAAGTTCATTTCGGGATCCTCTTCTTCTTTTGCTCAGATAAAAAAAATATCAATATTGCTGTATTGTTGTTTAGAGTAGGTTTAATATTGGGAGATTATAAGAGGAAAAATTATTTTCAGTTACAGAAGTCAAGAAGTAATTTTGACTCGAGTAAGAATCAAAGAAAGTTAAAATAAACTTTAATATGAAGATCATACGAAACTTATTTATCCGCACTGGCCTCTGCAGGAGATAATGAGAGATTTCCACCAATTCCCAACGACTATCGTAATATGTAATAAGGGGTCAGCTATGTTCCAAGTTTGAGAAGTCCAGGTGTTCCATTTATTGCCAGTATCATTAAGAAACCACCGTTTATAATTTGAGAACTACTTGGCAACCGTCCCGGGACATAAGAGGCTATAGTATGACCAAAATGCAAAGTAGGTGTCACTTTACATTGGCCGCCTATAACCGGGTGAATTTTACTTACACGTTCAAATCTACAGCAGATTTCATGTCCAGCCCATTTTAAATGTAATCATAGAAGTAAAGCTGATAACCACACAATATTTTTGTATGAACACTTATAAATAAAGAAAATTCAGGAAGAAATTACAAATTATTCCAACCTCTCACCCTGAACGAACCAAACGTAGAAGTTCCCGAAACATCTTTATGTAACCTTTTTGGAATGTAACATTTTTCTTATATTACTTACATTAAGTGCTACATTATACGTGAGCTGGCATCTCGTTATATTTTAGTGAATATTTATTTTGCTAATGAAAATCTTTAACATTTCTCTACAGTTAATAACTTCCTTCATTATTTAAAACGTTTTCAATTTTCTTTTGTTTTAGCTTTTTTTTATTTAAACACTTTTGTAGATTATATTGGAAATATTGTGACGGTATATTTACAAACATTAATTGTGTGACGTTCCAATAACATTATGGATAATTTTTACTAATGTGTTTTATATATTTCTTTTACTTAATATAATATTAAGTTCGTATACAGATATAGTTACAATAACATGTCACAGAGAATATTATACGTTATGTACAGAATATTAACTTTATTCGTGTTCACTTACAATTAGTTACTAGTTCTTTATTTCAATGTACTTTCTATAAATACATCGCTTTCATTTTTACAGAAGTTACATTTTTTTTTTTCTTGGAATTGTCAACCAGTTTAAACTTTCAAAATATCTGTCCATAAAAATATATAAAAATAAATTGTTTGAACGTAAATGTTATTAATATTTTCAAAGACGCAAGAGGTCAAGTAAACATAAAAAGTGTAAAAACAATAAGGTTAGCTGAATTATAAAATAATTAATATTTGAGTCGTTACTTCGACGGGCATGGGACGGTTCGTCTCACAAAGACGTTTTTCCCATTAAAGACAAAATATGCCCTCTCACGTTAAATAAATTAGAAATTTAACAAAAACGTGAGAGTTAGAAAGTTTTGGTTTGTTGAGAAAAAGATACTGGTGTAAACAGTTTCAAGTTACTAATAAACTAAATCTTTTAAAGGAATGATCTAAAGAATGTTTGAGAAACTATTCCTTTTTTAATACCGACCAGGACTTTTGAATGTTTAATAAAGATGAAACTTTATTTAACAAACATAAGGCTTCTTTGGGTTGAAATATAAACGTGAATCAAAATTATGATTCAATTATACAGGGTGACTGGTGAATTACTATCGATATTTGAGGACGTGATATTTGACGATCATATATGACAAAATAAAAATTAATATAACATAAATATTAATAAACTTTTTAAGTATACCGACCAGGACTTTTGTAATAATTACGCAAGTGAAACCCTACAGATTAGGTTACACTCACACTCACATAACGCGTGTCGCGACGTAGTGTTGTTCCGGGTTGCCGCACGCCTCCATACTTGAAACGTGGAACGTATCCACACTTTAATTTATGATTTTGTCAAAAATTAGTACCTATTTTTGCATACATAATTTGAATGAGAATCATGTACCGAGTATTCTCCTTAAATATTGATAGTAATTCACCAGTCACCCTGTATAATGCATGTAAAACGGTCATTGATTTGATTTAGGTAATAATGAAATCTTCATTTACTTGAACTTTTTATTACTGAATCTAAAATAGTTTTTGACATTTGGAGGCCGGAAGACAAACCAGCCGTTTTAGAACATCTAGCAAAGAGAGGAACTAACCGCCGGATCTAATAGTATCGCTTAAAGCTATTTCTATTTAAATAATATTATTTTTTTAAGCTTCAGTCGGAACACATTTATGTATGTTAAAATTCAGTATTTAAATGTAAGTTTTACACGTCAAAAGATATGAAACATACGAGAAATTTGCAAAAGTAATAGATTAATCTCAATATTTTTGAATGATTCTTTGTTATCGAAGATTAATAGGGTAACTATTATGAGATTTGTATAATTATTACCTTCTATTGTTAATTAAAAATAATCTAACTTAATAATACAATAACAACTTAAACGAAATGAGAAAAGTAAATAATTTTATTCCATTTATTATAAGTTATAGTAAATAATAAATGATGTAGAACAAAACTTGGAGACTATATTTATAGAAATAAACAAACTAATATTGACAAAGTAAATAGCAGGAATATATACACAGTCGAGCCAATTAGAATATAGACGAGGAGCAATAAATAATTAAAATAAATAATATGTTTCAACAGATATAATTGACTTGGTGAAATGTACTTAGGGAGCCTTATCATGTCACAAGTCAAATATAGAGGAGGGGAGGCACGTCCACTGGAAACAAAAGGTTTTATAAGACGACCCGGAAAATATGTAGCGAAGAAAAAAAAGACCTATGTCCCTTAAGACGATATGTGGAATTATAGTACTTTTAATATTTATATAGATTGTTTAAATCAATAATTATTATGTGTATTGATGATTAATTATTATAATTAAATATTAATATTGTTTATTGTATTCTCATATAAAGATGAAAAAAATTTTGTTATCCTAATATTCTAAACAGCTACTAGTTCTACTGTTAAATAACTTGTTTATATAAGTAAAAAAAGATTAATATTTTTTCGTTATTTTAATTTCTATTTGATTTTTGATTTTATTTGAAATGAATTGTTCAGCAAACTAAACCAGGACATTATTCAAACCTCTGAACGATCCATAATTCCATCGAGACATAAAGACTTTGTGATATACTGAAATGGTTTCTTCTTACCAACTGTCGTAATAAAAAGTCCACTGATCTCTTAAATGCTTTATAACCACAATGTAACCACGATTAAAAAAAATTAAAAAATTAAGTTTCTGGTAAGTTTTCTGACCGTCATACTTTGTACTACTAAACTATATTTAAATAAACGAATTAATAAATTCTGTTTAACGTAATTATATTTTAGTTCATTCAGCTTGTCTCTCAAAGCCATTTCTTTTTTCGTATAAACGTCGATTTTACTATACTTTTAAGTTATTTATCGTTACCGCAGATTGTATTAAAATTAAAATTAAAATTCTTATCTGTCAACTAATAAACACACCTAGTTATATTCAGAACCCTTTCAAAAGGTTTTATTAAAGAAAACGTTCCACAAATATTATTTTCAATAACGATTTGTTATTGTTAAAACTGTTGTTATTAAATCTTCAAATATTATTCTTCAATTATAATCATATTTGTTTTCGATAAATGTAAAATTTATAAAGTGGTTTCAAAAATAAAATAAAGTTTAATTTTATATCACACAAAATTTTATTTGTGGATTTTTTTGATTTAATTATTAAAATAATTGATAACTGATTTATTATAATTTTAAACAAAATCGTTTATTGAATTGAAATTAGGAAACTTTTATTTTATGTAAAAGAAATCTGTAAATATCAAATTATATTTTAAAAAATTAAATATGTTGTCTCTAAAAGTAATTTGACGATATAGTTCCTGGATTAGATTTATTTTCTTTAACATACATTTTATACTGAATTCAAAATATAAACTACCAATTAAGAAAACAAATTAATTAATGTTTTCAGACTACTTCCACAATAAAAGTTATAATTAGGAATTAATAAGTAAAATCTCTTTTAATATTTATCTGTTACATTAAACAAATTCTTGAGGAATATGAAACTGTATTAATTAAAACAAAATATTCTTTGGTCCTCCGCCGGGACCAAATTAATATCCGTTTTATATTTCAAGATCATTTCATATTTCCCGGAGAAACATCAGTCACGGTCTCCAAATAACAATGCAAATTAATCAAATCTCAGTTGAATATTAATTTTCAGTGGAGCATTCAGTTTTAATAAGTGAAAAAGTTTCATAAAACTTTTACCTAACTCACTGTTCCTTTCAGCGTCGATACCCTGTGGTAGGGAATCCCTCCCCTTGGTGTGAAGCCTCGTGAGATGAACCCTGGACCTGCCGTGTCTGATGAGGGTCCGAGCGTGTCTTATATGTTTCACGTCACTTTTGAACTCGCACTGAACCAACGACACGAAGTATATCAGTATTAGTGTCCTCATCGTAACATCACGTGCGTCCCAGACGAACGCCAGAGCACTACTGACGGCGGCTGGAGAACTTTCCTCGATCTTTTCATCGGCTTACCAATTCTGATGAAAATTTTAATATCTTATATGCAAAAGCGGCGATGCCTTTGTAACTTAGACATTAAAATTCGTATGTGCATACTTAAATGTCAATGAGCCGCTACGAAGAGATTAGAAAGGCTTTATATTAGGACGTGGAATTATCTTCTTATTTAATTAATTATCTTTGATTATAGCACTTGCTAGATAAACGAAAATGTTGTTCATAACAGTTTTCGTCATATCACTGTAACAAATAAATAAAAACTTTATATTAAGTAAGTTATACACGAGAAGCTAAGTTTGTCTATTTGTATGATAGTTTATTTTTCACGCTCCAACTACTCTACCCATTATCGTGTAACTTGAAATATATATATAGTATATAATCAAGGGTAGGAAGGAAAACCGAGGGTCTTCTCCCACAAAAGGGATCGTTTCCGGATAATTATATAGACAGTTCACGCGAGCCGTTATCTATCATACTTCTCTTGCCGTTTTGACGTCCACCTTTTAAATGATGAGACGGAGAAGAAAAAAGAAAATTCGTATAGAAAATACAAATAATAAATAATGAGTTACCCGTGATTTTAAAAATCAATTTCTCTTACATTTGAGATAATCATTTCGCGATACAATCAATTTATAATACATATCATAATATAAAATGAATTTCATTGAAATAGTAAAATGAAAGTTACACTATTATTCTTAGTTTTAAGCCACGCACAGTTGTGTTAGCAATGGCCAAGCTTAGCGAACTAACGAACTTTGCCAGCTCCCTGATATTAACACCACAATTTGTGTGACTTTATTTAATCCTCAACAGATTTAACTAATATCAAAGCTTAGAATTTTGGACATTCATAGTGGAGCTGTTGTTTATAAAAACACTTACATATATGATCCTTATAGTTTTGATAAATGTTAGTGTCTTTATATAATATTCTTACTTTTATTTATTTTAGTTAAATATTTACAGGACAAAAAGTATACAAAAAAAAATCTACTATAAACAAAAAAGCAACAAGGGGTTAGTAAAATAATGCATAAAATAAAAAAAATAATTCATTACAATAGTAGGTACATAATAATCGGTGTCTTAATTTTTGGGTTAAAAACAGACTTATTATATTTTTATTTTATTTATCACTTTTTTAGATTTGCTAAATCTCACAAAGGTTTTCACTTACGAAAAAGGTTTAAAATAACTTTGTTGAAAAAAATATTTATATGTAGAATATTTTTTATTATAAATCAGTTATATTTGAAATCCATTTTTTTTTTACAAATATTTGTTTATTTTATACTGGTAGCAATTCAGATTGAATATTATTTATTTGTTAAGTAACATTCGGATGTAAATTGCTAGACAAAAAATGAAATATCATTCTTTTTCATCATCAGTTGTTACATGAGTAATTTTTATCGTTTACACTTTACATTAACTTAATCTTCATAATTACAGCTATTCTATTAATTAATTAATGTAGGGAAACCAATAAAACCATATTTTTGTGCATCCCTTGGCACAGATTGGGGACCGTAATGGCTGAGGCAATTACTGGAGCAATTGGTCAAGTGAGTTGGTCCGTATTAATCGTATTTGGGCCACATGTAGATCACAGACATAATGTGCTTCTTTGAACTTAAAAGTTGTCACTATAATAGTGAATAAAGCTTCCAGTGTCTTTTTAAGATCTTAAATATGAATTGAATGCAAATAGTGCAGGACCGTAAAATTCGAAAATCATTGGCAAGCAGATTCTATGTACGTCCAACTGTGGACGTGTTCAAATTGATTGACCGAGGGAGGTTAAGATAAATTAAAATTAATTACGAATTTCAAAGTTTAATGTAATTCCAATTAACACTTGAATTGAATCACTTAAGTTAGGTTCAGTCCACATTCGCGTATCTCAAAATATCTCTGGTAGTAAAGCAAAACTTGCAAAATTAGAGGCAAAGAAATGTTGTATTTTATATCAATCTGCTGACTTGTCTCACTATAATCATGATTATGAACAAAAGAAGGTGTGTCACTTCAGCGGCATTAAAGTAAAATTTTAACCAGCCAGTGCATTAAGACTGGATGACAGATGAAACTCGATGATTTATCACCCTGGATCGTTTTGGAGCAGATAGGACCAGGCAATTGGCTGTATGGTTTAAAGTTTTCTTGACCCGTTGAAGTACTTAGAGACTAGAGAGAGTTCTGAGAGAGAGAGAGAGTATTGAAATTTCTTAAAAACCTTTGGTTGAAGGGTAATTTGTCTACGTAACCATATATTTATCAGCACCAACTATCTCACTGTGAGCCATATGTGTATTTTCAGGTTTTCAATTAAGTTTTTTGATAAATATATAAAAATATCATTCTAAATATTATAAATAACTACTTCATTTTAATCCTAACATTGCATGACATTTTCGTTTGATTGTCATTAATAATACAGATTCTATTTTATAATAAAAATATATTTATTGCGATAGTAGGCAATTTTTCTGAGTATATACATACTTCCCATTTCTGACAAAGGTGGACCTTCGAAATTATATAAAATTATTTAAAATTGTAATTTTGTGGAATGAACAAGAAGTGTTTTTTAAGAATACGATTTATTAAGATCTTCTGGTATTACGGAAGGTCAACAAACTTTATCATCTTTATATGTATTAAAAAAACCTGACAATTTCTCGTTTTGAGAAGAAATTGACCAGATTTAATCTCGGTCTCTAGAATTCCTCAGTGTTAGTGTTTCAAAAGCATTTACGAAGTTTGTTTTGCTAGAACTTTAAATTTTTTTAATGACAATTTGTCTGGTTGTACAAGTTTAAACTTTAAAAACTTCTAAACGATTCTAATGACATTATTAAGGTTTTTTACTCTAACTATGTATAATATTATTTTATATAGTATGTCAATTACTATTAAGTTATATAAGTTTCACTTAAATATTTCATATTCTTTTAAGTAATCATCTTCAAAAAGATTCAGTTTGTATGTCTATTCTTAATAATAATAATAATTATTCATAATCCTCTTTTAATTTTATTAATCCAAAAATTTTATAAAATTGGTTGGTTTATACATTTGCATTTTCATAACAACAACTGTTTATATTCTGTTTCATCTCATCTGAAATCCCATATATTTCCAATAGTACTTGGAATCACTGAGACAGTGTAGTAACGTTAAAAATAATTACCATTCCTAAGTCAAGAAATTGAATTTCCAATATTGTACGGAATATCAAAATGTAAGGAATTTAAAATCTAATAATGCAAAATTGTAGACTACAGTCGTTATATGCGTGTTCTTAAATATTCCATTTAAAAAATAATAATAATTTATAAACATAATATGTTAGACTCATTCTTTTCGCCAGTCAATAAGAAAGAGAAGAGAAGATGTAAATCAAACCACGTATCTCAAACAAACTGTCTCTATAAACTCGTATAAACCACGACCCGCTCATTATCATTACATGGAATAAGTATTAGTAACTTTAACTTTCGTTTTCCCGAACTTATTTTATGTTATTTACTTATTAGTAATACATGCATTTAATTTAAATTTAACTTATTTTAATCATTTCAACATTATGCATTACTTCAACGTTGCATATTATTATTATTATTTAGTCTATTAGTGTTATACTTATAATGTAAACAAAAACTTTGACAATGAGTAAAGTAATAAAGTAGTTTTTGTGAAATATATGAAAGTGATGCTATTTTATTTATAAAAACATAACGATTGTTATAACAAGTTATCACAATATACCAAGTAAGTGAAAAATATTGGAACCTCTTATCCAAATGGGAAAAACCATATTAAGTCGGATAAAACTGAAACTTAAGAATGTTCCGCTTAATACAAAAATAATATTCCTTTGGGAAAATGGCACATGACTGTCATATAAAGTTTTTTTCTCTATGGAGTATGCTAATATAAATATTTTAATTGAATATAAAGCTTTCTATATATTGATAAGTTAAACTAAGAAACACTCATATTGATCTTATTTATACAATATGTTCACGATTATTCTAAAAGTTTTTCGTTGTGATATTTAATATCTCCTTGTTCATTAATAAAATATTTTCATATAATGAAAATTATTGAAAAAAGATCGACACAACCATTAAAAATCAGAAGAACTTCCTATTACTAAATATTGCTTATAATTTTGTGAAGACTGTTTTGCTAAAACATACATTGTAGAAGTGAATAACATATTTTAGTTCTTCAAAAGAATCTAATAGATAAGTTTATTTGTTATTAATTATTCGTTTCAATTAAGTCTGTATGTCACACTGTCCTATAATATAACCGTGTGTTAAACTTAGCTGTGATTTATGTTTAGATTAAAAAAAAAGGCTCCAAGAGTAGTATTAACATAATATACGGAGTAGATATAAACTTTTTAATTTACACGAACAACCCACAATCCTGTATCTTCACGTCCTGTATCTCCCTGTTTCTGTGTAATTGGGTACTTTTATGGCGCTAATAAATAAACCCTATTGGAGTATTGGACTGCGGATATTAAATTCTGTGCTCAGATTTAATGGAATCAGAATATATTTATTGTTTATTTCCTGAAATTAATTGTGAACTGAACTACATCTTCCCGAAATAAACCTTGACCTTCGAAACCTTTAAAAGAACTCGAAATTGTTATTTGTTATTATTTAACTAGAACTGGATCTCAAACGCGACCGAATAAAAGCACGTCCACCTGCTAATATAACATACAATTATGTAAATGGTACACTGACGTGTGACACTTGTGGTTGCACGTGTAGTGCTAAGATTGGGTACTTTAGCCATGTGAGGTCGCATCGCAGCTCTTAAATATTACCTATGTAATATTTAAGAGCTGCGATGCTGAGTCACCATAGCCGAATTCGGCTGGGTAGATATATAT